AAAATGGTTGGCAGTCAGCAGAGAGGTTGTAGATGATCTGGAGTACTGATACAACATTGGGGGCGTGGCCTGTTCATTCCTATGAAAGCTGCAAAATTGGGCATGAAGCCATAACGGTCTGATTTTTAAGAACAAAAGAAACTGGATCATCTATGAGTCTGAGTCCATAGACAATACGCACTTGTGTTTTCATTAAGCCCTGCCTCCAATCCACAGTGTCCCTGCTCAGTCAAATGAATGGAGAGGAAAAATAACTCTGACTTTAAAGCCCCGGCCACACGAGGACGATAACGCAAACGGACCGCAATCATTATCAAAAAAGTATTCCGTCCACACGCAATAGGCACCAGAAACTTGTCCGTTCTAGAGATGGGCGAGTCCTGATTGATCCGGATCATTAACCCGGATCCTAGAAATGAGCTGGTCGTGACGAGTCTCCCCTCTCCATTAACCCGAGTCCTTTTAGTCCTACACCTTGTGTGACGTACAAATTAAAACTATAAATTGCGTCACTCGCTACTCTCCTTATAACTTGTAAAATAACATTACAACGTAGCCCAGTCCATCTGCCTATCCGTTAGCAAATAGGATAGCTTCCAGAAGTTATCGTTTAGCTCAGGGGACGCGGATCAGTGAAACTTCCTGCAGACTCGTGGGGACTCAGAGGAGCCGTAAGTTACGGCTCCTAACCGTAATAGAATAGCAGATCCAGAGATCAACATTTTTTATTCAAGCAAAAGACACTGTGCAAAAGACACTGTGTAGCGGAGGTTAATATGCTCGTGAAATGCAACAAGTTTTCGGTTTCACCGGTAGGATTTCTACGCTCTTGGTGATGCTAACTCATATGACTCAAATGACTCGTATGATCCGGATCTCTTCAATGACTGACTCAGAAGACCCTGAGTCCGTAAAAGGATCCGGATTTGCCATCTCTAGTCCGTTCACACGAGACCGCTCAAAAGCGCTGGAGAAGCTGTAGTACATATGCCAGGCCTGTAAGTGGCGCTGTACTTCTGCCACAAAAGCAGAGAAGAAGACTTCCCGTGCATGGTTGCCCTTCTGGTTATTCTCCGCTGTGGACGCTCTGGCTCTTTTTCTCCCTCCCCGAGGAAAGTGTTTGCTCCTGCTGCTCTCGGTAGTCCACCAGCAGATGACAAACACCCACCTCTCCGCCTCTTCCAAAAAACGTGGGGACCATGCGGCAGAGTTTCAGTTAGATTTTTTTCTTTTTTCGCCGGTCAACATGTCCGTTAAAGTTGAAATCTTCCGGACAAAATGTAGAAAAGTGCCGGTCCAAGGTCTTCTTTGTTATTTATTGAGCTTTAAAACAAATGAATAACGACTCTATATAATAATATAAGAATAAAAAACGGAGCCTCTCTTTTCCTCCCCCTCTTCTGAGAGCCCAGCAGCTGATCTCTGAGCAGGAGAGGTGGGGAGAGGCGGGGCTATTGCTTCAACATTATCAGGAAATGATCGTATAGGCGTAAACACGGAGCCGTTTGGCCCCCCGGAGCGTTTCGTTCGCAGATCTACCCACCTTGGGACCCGTTATCGTTTTCTGCGTTTCCGTGTCGGCCTCATGTGGCCAAACCGTCTATCTGATAGTGAACTGTAGCAGATGCGACCGTTATCGTCCTCGTGTGGCCGGGGCTTAAGAGCACTACGAACATTTACTTCTCAGCCCTCACTCCTTTGATCACCTGTCCCAGGAGTGAAGCTGTCTCTGTCTGTCTCTGCATTTTTCTCTGTTAAGCTTTAGTCCAGAGGATTGAGTCTGTTTTTACAGACAAATATAGTGTTCCACCATACCTTCAAATCATCCATGTAAACCACTGACCCCCCATTAAGTGTCTCTTTCAATTTACTTTGGAATTCTCCAGAGCGCTACAAAAGGCAAGCACTGCCAGAAACTGCTCGAAGCAATCATAGACAATGAAATCAGAACGTATATGCACCTTCCCAGATTTGTTCAGGGCTGGCATTATTGGTGCACACCACACATTACATTAAGTGAGGATCCATTGGTCTGACCAATTCCATCTGGACTTCATTGTGCTCCGAACTGTGTCTCCAGGAGCACATTTTGTCATATTGACATAGACTCATGAGCTGAAACAATAGCAGAGCTGCTGTCATGGCTGGTAATAATCCTGACATCTCCTTGAATGTAGATCTTGTAGGATCGCTAAGCTAGCTTCTGCAATTTAGAAACAGTCGGTGGGTTTTAGATTGAAGTTGTTGACATTAGAGCATTGGCCATGATCCAACATTTGGCAATATGGAATGTTATATGTCTACAAAGCAATGATAAATCCAAATATATCCATCATATCACATTTTTATATAGGTTCACAAGTTCATCGAACAATTGAACTATATTTAGCAGATAGGTAATATGCTTGATGGACAGGTGTGTGAGGGACACCAGTATCCTGATCACTGCATGGAGTTGTCTAATAACATGATATCTTTTCACTTCTCACTGTAAAAAACACTGTGCATTGACAGCTATATATACAGTCTATGATTGACAGTCAAACTTTATAGTAAAAAGGGTTATGGTATGCTTCTTAAATTCACAGTTGAGACATTTATTTTTTACAGTATATTTGATGATAAAAACGATATATTGTAAACCTGTTTCTGGTTATAAGCCATAGTAAATATGGTTGAACCACTCTTATTAAACCCCAGTTCTCACCACCCATCTTCTCCTCCTTTCTCAGGGTGGAGTTCCAGAACAAGTTCTACTGCGGCCAAGGCTTCAAGTTTTTCCCCTTCTCCTTCGAGAGCATCCTGGAGGGACGGTTTGACGAGTGACCGGCCTCAGCATGAGCCAACAGAATCCCCCCCACCCCTCCTCCTCTGTGAATGTGTTTTGTGTGCATGAACCAAAGTGCAGTCCGCTGTCACACTCTAGTGGTTATTTGTGAAACTGTTATTGTGTGTGAGCTATAGTGTGGTCCTTGTGAAGGGTTTTTCCAGCGCACATGTGCCAGCCTGTACCCATACAGGAGTGTCTATTGCTGGGGCACAGTACCCTCACTGTTCCCAGCTTTCAATCTATTCACCTCGCAGTAACAACATCTCCTCTGCCAACATCTATACCACTGAACCTCTGCTGTCAAACCCTGTCAAACTGCACCACAGTTTTGATAGAGCAGGTTTTCTCAGAGTGGTAAAATACTTCTAGCCTGTGTTTTGTGATGGTACCCAACGCATACTGCATGTGCAGCTTGGGATGGTAAGGCAGTGGAAAAACCCTGTAAAGATTAATCTTGTGAAAATGACTGGAAGTCCAGCTTTTACTCATCTGAATTCAGATAATCTATTTACCACCATTGTAGAAAATCCAGTGGTAAATTTGAAGTTTTAGTGTTGCTCTGTTTACAAATCATCAGACAGTCCATGGGAATAACAATGAATATAAGAATAACACAAGGTGGAAGGTCTGTCTAAACACTAAAGGTCAGATGAAAGGTATTTGAGAGAGAAATAAAAACTGCATTATTAAGTTTATAAGCCAACATCTTGCTTCATATTTGAGGTGCAGTTTTTCTGATCGGAGTAATAACTACAAATGACTGTCAAGTCCTATAAACTGGTATCATTCAATAATGTGCTACCCATGTTGTGTGGCCAAAATGATGACATAGCTCAACACTCAAGTGGGTTTTTGCCATGAAATGTCGTAAAAAGACACCCATATAAACCCAACTTTATAGAATCATAGTATGGATCAGATATATGTGTTGCTTTTACCATTAGTGTTGTATTGGCAGAAGATCAGGAATGTCTGCTGAGATGAAGACAGGGTGTCCTCTGATGATGTGTCAAGTCCCTCTGCTCATTCTGTGTTCTTGGTGTTGTAAACCAGTGGAAGAGCTGAAGTCATGCATTTAGACAAAAGGGAATTATTATTCAGAATGACTACCAGTTGCTTTAGAAACATTGCGACGATATTATCAAAGACTTGTGACACAACTTCTTTCATCTATTGTTTTTTAAATGTACAATACTTTTCAAACATATCTGAGCTTTTTGTTAAAGGACAGTGCAATACTTTGAACTAATTATATAAAGGCCAACATCTCTATTCTGTTCAAACTGAGGCACATTAGAATCATAGCAGCAATCAAGTTAGTCTAATGACAGTGTTTTCCATTTCCCTTATTTTATGATTACTTTTAAAGTTTTTACATTAAATGTTTTAATGTATTTACAATGCAACAACACATGCAACTGATGTTGGTCAGTGACAGTGATGTGGAAGGTAAAGTGTTTGTGAACAATAATAAACTGACCTGGGGATTCATCTTGTGTCCTGGGTTCTTTATGTATCTATCTATCTGGGCAAAGAGGTCAAATTCAACTGCTTAACTCTTTTGGTTTGTATTCAATTGATAGTTTCCAAAAGTGCAACAATGCAGCAATCATTTTGGACACAATCTCCACTGAGACCTGCAAACACAGAATTCAGACTTCATTCATTGAGCTATTCATTTGATCCTGGTTGCAAGCTTTTTGAATAATCTAAAAACGTTGTTTCTTTAAGAGTTGTGAAGAGGACTGAACATTGTTATGTGATACCTGCTGTATGTCATGATCGCATGGTGAACACACAGGGTGGACTGCTACTGAAGCACTGCGTCATCACGGCCGGCAGAGGGCGCTGAGTGCAACTGAGAAACAAACAGCAATCACAGAGCGGAGTGGAAGCTGCGTCAAGCTCAAGCTCACCATAGTTAGCTCAGTCAATACCGGACATTGTCAGAATAAAAGCATACTACTGCTTTCGACAAGATATTTCAATCGGTCTTATTGTTTTAGTTATGCAGTTACAGCTTTAAAACGATAATAACGATGGAGATGTTTTAATCGGACTCAGATATTTGATCAAAACACCCCTCTTCCCTCTCGCCGCTTTTTAGCCTTATTTTATTTTTTGAAAAACCGGAAACGCATAGTTATTATCGTTGGTTTAGCTTTCCGACAAGAGTTTAGTGGTTTGAGGAATGTTTGGTTTACTAGAAGTAAACGGGCTGGCACAGAAAGTAACTTTGTGCTGGTCTAAGTCTTCTTTATAACTTCTTGACACCAAAAAAGGCAGAAGAGGACCTACTAAACTGGTGTAGTTGTATTTAAAGTCACTTCGGAACAAAAAGGAGCAGCGAGCCCAGCAGTGGATCCGGTTGCATTTAGGTTATCATTCAACATCTTCACAACCGTTTTTCCAGTTAGCTGGTTGTGTTTCAGTAAAGCCAATGCTTTCGTCCTCGCCATTCTGGAAAAAATACGTCAAATGTGTCTTCTGATATTTCATGGTAAGTGCTGCTGTGAGGTGCGAATGTTTTTCTTTAAAGCTATTTTTTTCTTCCAAGCCGAACTCCACTTTAAAACCCTTCCATTAAGGAGCGGTGGTTACATGCTGACTTTTCGGAACAGTGGGACAAGAGGTTCGACCGTATATAAATAGAACTATACTAATCTTCGACATTTATATATGTTAATCATCAATCGGCATATATATTTAAAAACAAATGTATTTATAAAATGGTTTTGTATTAACACACTTCAATGCAAGTGTAACGTAAAGCATTACCACATGTAAACGTAGGCTACATGTTATAAAGATGAGCAATAGTTGGGGAAATATACTTATGCCGAATTCAACCTTGTGTCTTTTTGACTCTTTAAACCACTTTGCCATAGTTTAAACCTGTTTGACTCGCAGGTTACTAGAGCTAGCTCCAGTGTTGGCATTAACCAGAGTAAAGCATGGCTGCTGCTGCTGCTGCTGGACTCTCAGTGGAAGCAGGAGCTACCTTTAAAACCTGTTAGGTGTGGTGGAAATAATTGTTTCTGCATTTTCAGCATGTAGTCTTTATGAAGAGGTGTCAATGGTACATTTGCCCTTCAGGCAAACTTTGACTGATTATTTTAAATCTTTAACTGCTGTTTCTATCCATACGTGTCCTGGTTAGAATTGACTAATGTTAAAGCTTGTCCACAGTATGCATGTTCATTTTGAAAACCTTGTCCTCATCATTTAGGCAATTATCTCCAAAACTGAGAATTCTTTATGCATTTCTAAAGTAAACAGGATTTTCATGAGTAAATCTCATGTATCCAGTCATATGCTCAATAAAACCCTTAACACATGCATTTTCACCAAAACATTACAATTCAAAAATATATATATTTCTGCATAAACAATGCTTCTGCAAGCCTTATTTTTATGATCATATGCACAGTGGTGGGGTTTGTGGAACTTTAACTAACAAATATTATTGATTTTTGAATAATCTGTATATTATTTTTATACAAATGTTCTGTCTTTGGATTAGTATTTAAATTGATTGATTGAACCCTAGCTGTTTAAAGTAGCTCTGTAAAGCAGAGTTTTATACCCATTTTCAAATTATTACATTTTTCCTGTGTGGAACAAAATGAAAATACTCTAGCCACATGTTGCTTTTGTATCTCTACACCGTGGTATTACTACTTTTACTTCAGCAAAAGTTCTGAGTACCCGGTCCACTGCTGAATGCAGCTTGTGTCTGCTGAAGTCTTGTCTCATTGAATCTTAAGAGTGTGAATATGCCTCTTTAATACTTGTATCTTCCCCTTGTCCCTGTGCAGGCTTCCTCCTGACGGTGTGAGGATGGGTCAGGGTGGTGTCGGCAGTGGCTGCAGCCCTGGAGGCTGATGAAGACGCTCCATTGGCCAGTCAGGATGCATATAGCCTCAGTGGGTGTCAGCAAGTTCTGCTTCCTGTTCTCCCTGGCGTTCTGCGGCCTCCTGCTCCTGCTCATCCCGGCCCTCCAGCCCCAGGCCCGCCAGCTGGACCTGCCTCAGCCCCGGCCCCAAGTCCGCCCCGCTCCGGAGGACCTCCTGGCTCCAGGAGGGTCTGAACACTCAGAGGAGACTGACTCGGCAGGGTGGGGCAGACCCATCCAGACTAAAGGGATCACACATGAGATCCACAGTCCCAAAAGAGGGACGGACTCCAAAAAAGGAGTGCTGCCTGGGGGAAAGGGTGGTAGAGTTTCAGGGTCCAGGCCACGGGACCTGTTGGAGTTAAAGGACATTTTTATTGCAGTAAAGACTACCAGGAAGTACCACAAGTCCAGACTGGAGCTGCTGATCCAGACCTGGGTTTCCCGAGCTAAAGAACAGGTGAGGAGGGCTTCTTTATTCTTCCATATATCAGTTCATCACAATATGATTCCATTGAAAGATGAGGATCATATTGAATCATTTCCCAGGCCTACCGAATTCCAACAATGGAGTGCAGCGCTGTTAGACTATTGGAGTGGAAACAGACTTTCACAAAACACTAATAATTTGTTTTCATCAGCATGTCAACTTCTTCAAATGAAACAAATTGCATGACTGGCACAAACCAAAAGAGACACATTGTGATGATGTAATATCACACCTCTACCTGTAGTTGCAGCCCTGAGTCATGGATGGATAAAGTGAACTGAACACAGCGTTGCAGACGGGGCCTCGTTTATTCATATGAACGTTGGTCTGCGACTTATCCATACAGAATTGTCTTTCACGTCCATAGAGTGGTTCAGAAATGAGTACCAAAGTCTTGCGTGCTTCCATTTTCGTAGTGACATCTCTTTCCCAATGTAAGCCAATAGGAAAACGTTTCTTTGGGCCTAAATGACGTAACAGATTGACACGGAAGTGTATCCCCCTGAATACTGGGCTTTGCAAGTATACAACTTGGCATCATTTCCCAAAATAAATCACATTTATATGCAGCTCAGAGTCCAAAACCCCAAATCCATTTGCTAACTGCTGTGGTAGATAAGCAATACAACCACTCTATACTTGGGTGGGCCGCCCAGGTATAGTAACGGCAGTGGCGAAGCGTGTCTATCACAACTGGACCTTCTGTAGACACAAACTCCCCCCCCCCCCCACGCCGCAGCAGCAGCCACTGCAGCCGCTCTTGTCAGATTTAAATGCACAACAACGCGTACTACTCAAGACAGACATTAACGAACCATTCATCAAAAAGTGTGTGGGAACAAAATGCAACCAGCTCAACGAGATGCATAACCAGCAAATAAAAAGTAGTCTCACTCACCAATGGTCCTCACTTAAAGACGAAATCCATCCTCCTGTCCGTTTGGATGAATTTTTCGATCACCCGGTCATAAAGCTGATCACTGCTTTTCAGATCCAAAAGAAGTTGCCTTTCAATTGCCATGGAAGCTAATGCAGAGAGTCGGGATTGTCCTGTTCTGTTCCGTGCATATGCTTTTATCCGTTTGAGGGCGGAAAATGTCTTTTCCACAGATGCAGTGGTGACGGGGATCGTTACAACCAGACATATAAGTGCATATAGCTGATGCATGCTGTCACAAAGTTATTTTCGTTGGAAAAAGAAAAGGAGGTCAGATGGGTTCTTTCCCTGAAAATCTGTCATACAATACATCACAGACAGTTCTGTTTTCAGCCGAGACAAGTCAAAGTGCGGCCCGTAGCTCTCTGTGAGGCTTGCGAATGCAGTTTCAGGGAAGTTGCTGTTAAAGCTGGTGAACTGTTGAGGGTCCAGAAGAGAAAGGAATGACAGTTTTTCGTGATCTTTAAACTGATTTTGCACCTGATTTAAAATGTTCTCAAGAATGCCATTGTGCAGCTTCTTGTAGTGTGAGCGAGAATCTCCGTGGGCTCTCCGTCCAGTTGGCAGGCCGGTGTCCTGCACAGTCTCATCATATATTTGATCAAAACGATCCCTCTGCCCTTCAATGCAAATGAAAAACTCTTCCACCCTTGTCAGACAAAACTGCATGTCGAATGACTTGTTCTGTAAGATGTCGAAGAGCACATCTGCATGCGCAAATATCTCGTTAAAAGTTGAAAGGAAAAATCCAAATTCAAAGTTGCCCAGGTTTGATAGGTAGCCATCAGCACTGAGAATGGCAGCATCATCAAATTCCTCGTGGTGTTCAACTATGTAGTCAAACAGATCCTTAAGAGCATCCTTCTTTTCAAAGACAGTGCACACCAATCTTGATGCAAAATTCCACCTGGTTGGTGCCACTCGTGGCAGTCGCTTCTGGCATATTTCATCAAGCAGCTGCGTTCGTTTTGGCGATCTAGAAAAGAACGCAGCCAGGCCAGAAAGGTGTGAGAAGAAAATTCTGCATTCTTTAATTTTAACTACACCTTGAGATAAAACCAAATTAAGGGCATGTGCATAACAGTGTATGAAAAGTGCCTGTGGGAACTTTTCCTTGACCTTGGCTTGGACTCCGTTCAGCCCCGATGCCATAACGGCAGCACCGTCATAGCACTGGGCTACAAGTTTGCCCATGCATCCATGTTCCTCCAAGAAACCAAGGGCCATGGCTGCTACATCCTCTGCCCGTTTCTTCCCTGTCACATCCTCACATTTGACGAACCTCTCTTTTACGCCACTGTCTGTTACAAACCGAAGAACAAACGACAACTGTGCAGCATTGCTGACATCTGTTGTTTCATCCAGCATTAAAGCTACGAAGGGTGCTTTACTTATTTCTTCTTTGATGGTCTCACCCATCACTTCGGCCACAGCACTTATCAAGTCGTTCTGTATTTGACTCGAGGTTCCAATGAACACCTTAGAAGTGGACAAATGGTAGTGCAAGTCTGGATCATATTCTGCTATGAATGTAAGCAGCTCCAGGTAATTACCTCGATTGGCTGATTCTCTGCTCTCATCATGGCCCCTGAAAGGTAACTCCTGTTTCCCAAGGAAAATCACACAGTGGATCAGACGTTTCAAAATATCCCGATTTTTGTTCACCTTTTCGTTGTGAATGATCGTTTCTCTACGTCTCTGTTCGTCCAGCTGTAGATCAATCCTTGTGTCTCCAAAAGTCTTCATGCCCGTTGCCTTAAGATGTCCTGCTGTGTTTTGGTGTTTTTGTGCAGCCTTGGTTAAACAGCTCAGATTATCGTAGCCTTTCCAATTCCATGCCCCCTTTTCGGTCCCAAAAAGCAAGCACTCCCAGCAGTAGAGCCTTTTGTGACTAACTGAGCCCGTAAGCCACGGGTATTTTTCCCAGTTGCTAGCCTGGAAATGGCGAACATAGCCTTTAGCAACTTGATTCAGCTCCAGATTTTCAGGCGTTGGGCGCCCTTTTTTTACAATGTCCGTCTTTTCAGTGAATTGTCGTCTTGAAAAAGGAACCGACAATAATTCCGCAACAACATCTTCTTCACCTGTTGCCATGTCAACGTTAAAACAGAAAATGAATTATTACGTCCCATCTATATCCTGTGTCTCGCACCTGTCAGAACTAACGGGCCTTCTAGCTTACCCTGCACCGTGGGAAACTCCGAAAGAATACGCCCATTGGCTACAAATCAATATATGATTGGTTGATCAAACTGTCAATCAGAGTGTTCGCTCTCATTCAGTTCAACGACCAGGGCCTTCTATCAAGGATACAGAATACCCACAGACGCAGAAACAGATCTGATTGGTTGCATTTCTTTTCTAAAATGCGTAGTGCAAGGTCCGAGAAGGACAAACAAATCCACGTAACACTGTTTATTACAGATCAACAACACAGATACGATTCTCATTTATTAAATTGTATTTATATACACTGAACAAAAATATAAACGCAACACTTTTGTTTTTGCTCCCATTTTTCATGAGATGAACTCAAAGATCTAAAACATTTTCTATATACACAAAATAACTATTTCTCTCAAATATTGTTCACAAATCTGAAAAAATCTGTGATAGTGAGCACTTCTCCTTTGCCGAGATAATCCATCCCACCTCACAGGTGTGGCATATCAAGATGCTGATTAGACAGCATGATTATTGCAAAGGTGTGCCTTAGGCTGGCCACAATAAAAGGCCACTCTGAAACGTGCAGTTTTGCTTTATTGGGGGGGTCCGAAAACCAGTCAGTATCTGGTGTGAGGGGTAGGATTAGGGTTAGGGGTAGGGTTAGGGTTAGGGTAATGTTGTGAATCGAGTGGCCTGTGTTCGTCATCCATAACATACGCCTGCCCATACCATAACCCCACCACCACCATGGGCCACTCAATTCACAACATTACCCTAACCCTACCCCTAACCCTAACCCTAATCCTACCCCTACCCCTAACCCTAATCCTACCCCTACCCCTAACCCTAACCCTACCCCTAATCCTACCCCTCACACCAGATACTGACTGGTTTTCGGACCCCCCCAGACCCCCCCAATAAAGCAAAACTGCACGTTTTTAGAGTGGCCTTTTATTGTGGCCAGCCTAAGGCACACCTGTGCAATAATCATGCTGTTTAATCAGCATCTTGATATGCCACACCTGTGAGGTGGGATGGATTATCTCGGCAAAGGAGAAGTGCTCACTATCACAGATTTTTTCAGATTTGTGAACAATATTTGAGAGAAATGGTTATTTTGTGTATACCGAAAATGTTTTAGATCTTTGAGTTCATCTCATGAAAAATGGGAGCAAAAACAAAAGTGTTGCGTTTATATTTTTGTTCAGTGTAATTAAATCGATAAATGTCTTTTTTTTTATCTGAGTTATCAGGGTATTCTCTGAATACCTTGAAGGCCCTGACGGTTCGCCACTGAGTAACGGCCGCCCAGGTATATTTCGCGACCCATTTATTTTTATTTTTATTTTTTATAAGTTTATTTTTATTCATCCGTGACCACGACGCCATCCGCGATCGATTAACTTGTGGACAATGATCCCTCGCTCTACGCCTCCTGTACCCAGTCCCGGACTGGCCATTGGGAGGACCGGGGGGTTTCCTGATGGCCTGGCCTGCCTCACACTGGGTGACTGGCTGTCTACATGATGTGGTCTGCCTCACACAGGGTGACTGGCTGTCTACATGATGTGGTCTGCCTCACAGGGTGACTGGCTGTCTACATGATGTGGTCTGCCTCACACAGGGTGACTGGCTGTCTACATGATGTGGTCTGCCTCACACAGGGTGACTGGCTGTCTACATGATGTGGCCTGCCTCACACAGGGTGACTGGCTGTCTACATGATGTGGTCTGCCTCACACAGGGTGACTGGCTGTCTACATGATGTGGCCTGCCTCACACAGGGTGACTGGCTGTCTACATGATATGGCCTGCCTCACACAGGGTGACTGGTTGTCTACATGATGTGGTCTGCCTCACACAGGGT